GTAGTAGAGTAGTAGTCTAGTAGTAGTGTAGTAGTCGTAGTAGTAGTAGTAGTAGTAGTAGTAGTAGTAGTAGTAGTAGTAGTAGTAGTAGTAGTAGTAGTAGTAGTAGTAGTAGTAGTAGTAGTAGTAGTAGTAGTAGTAGTAGATGTCTTTTGGGAGCCTCTTGGAGGCCTTTTGGGGCGTCTTGGGGGCCTCTTGGCGGCCCCAGGGGCTTCTAGGAGCGTTTTGGGTGCCTTGGGGGAGCCTCTTCGGGCCTCTTGGGAGCCTCTTGGAGGCCGTTTGGGGCGTCTTGGGGGCCTCTTGGCGGCCCCAGGGGCTTCCAGGAGCGTCTTGGGTGCCTCGGGGGAGCCTCTTGGGGCCTCTTGGGGGCCTCTTGGGGGCCTTTTGGAGGCCTTTTGGGGCCTCTTGGGGCTCTTTGGGAGGGGTCTGGGAGGTATCTTGGGGCCATCTTTCGGGCGATCGATCACAGCTGGGGCAAGCATTTTTCTGCCTCCCCCCGTCGGGGCCAGAATCCTCGTGAGGGGTGTCGAATTTTCGCCCTCCCAGGAGTCCAAAAAGACTCCTCCAACGACCCGCGAAACCCCCCCCTCCAGGTCCAGGGGGAGGGGGTCGGGGGAGGGGTAAACCCCTCCCCGGAGGGGAAGAAGGGGGGCTGAGAACAGAGAGAGCTCCCTGAACCACTCACGCCCAAAGGGCTGGTGGGATTGTGTTGAGCAGGGATCGAAGTTCGATGTGTTGGGCGTGGTCGGGAAAGCGGACGGTTCGGACGAGTCTCTTGACGCGCCTCTGGCGGTAGCGCCCGCGCCCGAGCCCAAGCCGATGACGCGGAAGCAGAGGTGGAGCCAGGCGAAGAAGAAGAGGGAGCAGGAGCGTCATCGCGTGGCGGTAGGCCAGTGGTGTAATTTGTAGCGTCTGGCAGACCTCCATGGTCTTTATTATTTCTAAACTTTGTATCGCCTTTGAAATCAGGTGCGGATATTCTCTCTCTGTTGACCCACATGCTTAGTGCAGCTCTTGGTTGGGAAGGCCATATGGCCGGTGCCGCCGGCCTTGAAGGGGGGCGACGACCACGACGGCGGCTTCTGCGGCGACGACGCTGACGTTGACGTGGGGCAGAGTCCTCAGGGATGCTTCGTGGGGCCTCTTCGGAGCGCGCTCGTTGGCCTCTGGGGGCAGTTGTGGGCCCTCTTGGGAGCACCTTGGGGGCCTCTCGGGAGCCTATTGGGGGCCTCTTGGGAGTCCCTTCCGGCTTCCTGGGGGCCCGCGGGGGGCTTCTTGGGGCCTCGTGGTGGCCTCTTGGGGGCCTTTCGTGGCCTCCTGGGAGCTTCTCGGGGCCGAGGGCTCGAAATATTCATTCTGACTTCCGTGTGCGCACCCTCTTGGAAACGTTTTGGGGGCCGTCTGGGAGGCTCGGAGGCTTCCAGGGCCTCCTCGGGGTCCTCTTGGGTCGTTTCGGGGCGGTTTTGGGAACCTCTTGGGGGCTTGTTGTGCCAATCTTGATGGCGTATTCGGCCGTCTTGGGGCGTCGAGAAGCCCCAAAGGCGAGAACTCTGCCAGAATCTTTCAACAACGTGAAGAAAACAACGTGTGTTCGCTTGTTGGGGCCCTCTTGGTGTGCTCTTACAGGCCACTTCAAGCGTCTCGGCAGCTGCTTGGGCTGCCAGGAGGCCATCTTTGGCGTCTTGGACCGATTGTCCCCCTTGGACCGTCTGGGGGGGCCTATTGAGCTGTCTTGACCCAGGACCCCCCCGCAGGACCCGCCCCGGACCCACCCAAGCCAAGGCCCCCCCCTCTGGAACCCCCACCGGGACACTCCCGGGGCACTCCCCGGGACCCCCCCACGGGACCCCCCCTTCGGGGATCCCCTTTGGGACCCGAAAGTGGAACATCGTTCGACCGATTGGAGCGAGTTCAAACCAGTTTGGTGCAAATTTCAACCCAATGGTACCAATTCCAACCGCTTCGGGGGCTCCCCAAAGATAGATTCCTCGTAGTTTTCTGCGAGAGTCCTTAGAATATTCCTTCGAGACTCCTTGAAGGTTCCTCCGAGATGCCTTATAGGTTACTTCGAAATTCCCTGGGGTTCTTTCAGATTCTTGAGGGATTCCAGGGGCATTCCTTCGAGATTCTTCCGACATTCCTGAGAGATTGCGTAGGGAGTCCTGAGGATTTCTCAGGATGCCTCCGGAATTCCTCGAAGATTCCTTAGATTTCCCAGGATTCCTCCGGATGCATCGGATTCCTCAGGGATTCCTTCGGAATTCCTTAGGGATTCCTGGGTGATTTTTCATTATGCTTGATGGGGTTCCTCAGGATTGCTACGGAATGCTCAGAGTTTCCTCCGACATTTTTCGGGGCTCCTCAGAAATATTCTCTAGGTTTCTTCCTGATTCCTTAGAGGATCCTTCGATATCCCCCTGGATTCTTCAATGTTCCTTAGGGATCTCTTAGGATTTCCTTAGGGATCCCTTGAGGATGCCTCAGACACTCTTCAAATATTCTCACGTTTGCGCCACATCTGCCGCTTTCTTTTCTAGTGTTTCGGGGGAAAGCGCCCTGGGCGCCCAGGCAGTGTTCGCAGGGGGCGGTGCTTACAAGGACGCGTGACCAGGAGGGGGGGGACTCTTGGTAGGTCCATCCTGGAACCTCTTACAGGGCCTCGGGGGGCCTCCTCTTCCTCTTCCTCCTCCTCCTCCTCCTCCTCCTCCTCCTCCTCCTCCTCCTCCTCCTCCTCTTACAGGGCCTCGGGGGGCCTTCCCGGGGGCCGCCCACGGCGCCTTGCGGGCCGCACTGGGGCCACCTTGGGCTGGGTGGGGCCCGTGTGGGGCCGTCGTGGGGCCACCTTGGGCGGTCTTGGAGGAGGAGGAGGAGGAGGAGGAGGAGGAGGAGGAGGAGGCGGAGGCGGAGGCGGAGGCGGAGGCGGAGGCGGAGGCGGAGGCGGAGGCGGAGGCGGAGGCGGAGGCGGAGGAGGAGGAGGAGGAGGAGGAGGAGGAGGAGGAGGAGGAGGTCTTTGGCGTCGCTTGGGCCGCCCCAGGGCCGCCCGGAGCAGTCGTGGGGCCCTCCCAGAGGCATCTTGGCCCGTCTCGGGTCGCTGGGGAGGGCATCTGGACGAGCTCGTTAACCATGCCGATGTCCCAGAAGGGATGTGCCAAGTTTGGCATGTTGAGGCCCTCCCGGGGGGTTCTCTTGAAGCCCTCGGGCGGCGTCTTGGAGGCTCCGAGGGCTGTCACGACTGGGCGCCATCGGGGGTCGCTGGGAAGCCCCCGAGAGGCATGCCTAAGCCATGCAGGCCGCCCAGGACCATCTCTGAGACGGCCAGGGCCGCCGGCACGCTTCGCGCACCCCCCCTCCTCCAAACTGGACGGAATGGGCCCCCGGGGGAACGGATTCGGGGAGGGGCAACCGTGTCACGTGCCGCAGACCCCAAGGGGCCGGCGGATTCGCAGGGGACTCTGGAGGAATCCTGATCGGATCCCGCGGAGTCCTGAGGACTCTTGAATGCTTGTCAGCGCCCTCCAGGCGCTCCCACACCCTCCCCAAGGTTCCGAGCGTCCCAGAGGTTTCGAACAACCCAGGGGGGTCCAGAATCCTGCGGGTTCCTTACCAGCCCGCGCCAGCGGTGCCTGCAAGGGTTTTCTGCGAATTGCATACATCACGGGGGTTTCGTACCAGCCCGCACAAAAACCCACCAGGATAAGGGATCCAGGAGGGGGGTCAATCCGCACCAGGCCCCGCCGACACACACGCAGACACACACGCTCTCTCTCTCTCTCTCTCTCTCTCTCTCTCTCTCACACACACCCACACCCACACGCACCCATGGCCCAAGAGGCCTCCAGGACGGCCCCAAAGAGGCCTCCAAGAGCACTTCCAAGAAGGCCCCAAGAGGCACAAATCATTGATTTTCTTACGATTTTTGGTGAAGTTTGGGGTTCTCCTCTTTTCGGTTTCCGACGCTCCAAGACGGCGGTCTGCTGGGCGTCCGAAGCCGCCTGGGAGGCTCCAAAATCGCCCCACAACCATCCGAAAGGGTCTTCAGGCAATCCAAGAGAGCCCCAAAACGGCACAACACGGGTCCAAGATGGCCCTCAGAGAGCCCCGTGGCGGCCCAAGATGGCCCCAAGACACCTTCCGAAGCATTCCATATCGTGACCCGCTCGTTCAGGGAGACCGCGGTTGGAGGCAGGGTGGCCCGAGGAAGCCCCAAGAGGCCCCCAGAATACGCCCAGGAGGCCTCCAGAAGGCCATTAAGAAAGCCTGAAACATTTTTTGTGAGGCCCCCAGAGGCTCTCCAAGGAGGAGCCTCCGCAAAAAAGAGCTGAGGAGGATGGGGAGAGTGCGCAGGGTATGGCGAAAATGATGAAAAAGAAGCATGGAGGAAGGATAACGAATAACATTATTATAGCGGCGATGCCGGACAAGGCAACAAGGAGTTATCGCTAAATTGTCGGCTTGATTTTCCTGCTATTCCGCCTGCATACCAAGCTTCAAGGACCAAGGTGCATGGCGCGAAACGCCACTGCAGTCTTGTGTGTATATATATAATGGGTAGGGGGTCCAGGGCCCCCCAAAGTGCATTCATTTATCTTCCGGCCGTTTCGGGCCCAGCGGGAGGCGCCAAGAAACGTCAAAGGGGGCCGAGGGCCGAGAGAAGTCCAAGAGGGCGCCAAGATGGCCCAAGAGCGCTCCAAGAGAGCCCAAGACCGCACAAGAGCGTTTCAAAATGGGTCCAACATGGCTTGAAGACAGCCCAAGAGGGCTTCAAGACGGCCAAGATGCCCTCAAAAGGATTCCCACGAGGCACTCAGAATGCGAAACAACTAGTTTTTATTGTTTTTGAACGTTTTTCATGTTCTCGTTGTTGGCATTGTACCGTAGGTCGTGTGTAACAGGGGCGTGGGGAAACGGTGGGAGGCAGAACGGTGCTGCAGCTTTGCCCTCCGTCGCCATTTGGCTGGAGGGAAACACGGGCCCTGCAGCATCGCAAATCGAGGGTGGGCATGGCGCTGGTTCCCCCAGCGGTGGAGGCCGCCGAGGCGCTGGCGGCTACCGCCCACGCGACTGGCGGAGGAAGCGAGGGAACACTTGGTGTCCTGGGGAACGGTGGCCCCGGGGGAAGCGCGGCAGGGATCCTCTTGTCGGCCCCTGGGGGATCCTCATCACCCCTGGCTCCGAGCCTCGACATCGCCACCGCCGTTAGGAGCCTCGGCATGGACGAGTCGATGTTCAGAGGCTTCGTCCAAGAGATCGGGGGCGTCTGGGAGGAGGTTACGTTGGGGGAGATCTTCGAGATGTTCGACGAGGACCTCGTTACAGCGATGCGCACCTGCAACGCTGTCACCGACGAGGGCGAGGTCCGGCCACTTTCCTCCTTGCAGCGCGGCCATGTGCGCAGGGTTTGCAACGCCTGGCGGAGCTCGCGGGGCAGACCCCGAAGGCTTGGGGAGGTTCTGCCCCAGCCGTGAAGGCACCGCCGGCGGCGGCGCCTGCCCAGCAACAGGCGCCGCAGCAAGTGGTGGTCACGCCCACTACGCACGAGTTCTCCACCGTTATCGAGCAAGGCCGTCGGACCACGTTCCAGGAGCTCTCATCCGAGAAGGTCCGGACGTTGTGCGAGGCCTACGACGACAAGTGGGGAATATCCAGAGACTACGAGGATTGTAGTGCCCTCCAGCTGTCCGCCTTGGCGGCGAAGCTTGGCCTGGACGAGTCCCCTTGGGTGGACTTCGCCGTCTGGGGGCCCTTCGGCAAGCGCATCCAAAAGCTCCTCTACTTCAACTCCGACGTCTTCGTCAACGGGGAGTACATCAAGCGGAAGATCCTCGGCCCCTCCAACTTCGAGGGTTTCCGCAAGTCGTGGCAGGTGTTCCGGACCGCCGCCTTGAAGCTCGACTTCACGAAGGCGGGCCCGGTGGACAGCTACCTGGAAGTTGTCCGACAGCTTGCTACGCTGTTCCCGAGGTGGGGGGCCATCTACACTGTGGTGTCCCACAACATGGAGGGGCGGTGGGACCAGCTACGGGAGAAGATGGAACGAGCAGTCCAGAACGGCAAGCCTCCGGATGGTTGGGACCCCAAGCGACCTTGGCAGGCCGTCTTGATGGCCGCTGCCTACAATGAGGGCTCCGACGCACAATGGTGGAGGTCGCACCTCCCTTGCTTGACCTCCAGCTCCCCGGCAGGAGTGGCCGCCACCGTGGCGGCTCTCGAGGGGGCCGCACAGGACTTGCCGCTAATTAGCGCCGCCGGTGGGCACGGCGCAGCGGGGCATGGGCGCGGGCCCAGTCGCGCCGCCAACCGGCAAGCAGCCGCCCTGCCCAGAGGGTGGATAGATCTTGCATGCAAGAAATATTTCTTACAGCATTATAGATCTTGCATGTAAGATATATTTCTTGCATCGGGGCCAACATCTGGTAGCGGGGCCATTTTCGCTGGGCTCGTCGGCGAACATCATTGATGATGCCTTTTGGGTACAAAAACGCGCGATTCGTTGCACACGAGTTCAACATAATTGCGAACGAGCACGCAAAATATGTTGTTGTCTGTTCTATCGGTGTTGGGCGTTGTCTCGGGGACCCGATCAACATGTATTCCATGCAACCCTGGCTGTCTTAATTGGGTGCACTCGCGTTCGGTTGAGGGATTGCATGTAGTTGGGTCGATCCTCCCCTCTCCACGAACACGGCGATGACAAACAGCGAGTCTCAGCGACCACCCTTCCCCCGATGTCAAAGTGCGCCCGAGGGGGGGGAGCAGCAGCAGCAGCAGGAAGAGGGGGGAGGAGAAGCTGGCGGAGGAGGATGAGGAGGCGGACGTAGAGGAGGAGGAAGGGGAGGGGGAGGGCGAAGAGGAGGATGCGGAGGAGGAGAAGGAAAAAGAGGAGGAGGAGGAGGGTTTTGCATGCTTCGAAACACCCCGCGAACCTTTCGAGAGGCATCCAGGCTCGAGCGGTATGCCACCCAAGGCGAGGCCGAGTTATCCAGGAAGCGGACAGGACATCGCTGATGCTATAGCTGACACGGTGAAGCCTCTAGGGAGAAACTTCGTAAAGTACGACGAGAATGAGAAAGTTGCTCTCAGCAAGCTCCAGGTCGATCAGGTCAGTAATCAGCATGCCTTGCTTGCAGCACTGCACGACATCTACCCATCGTTGAATTTCAACAAGAGCCAGTTCAAGGATGCGATCGAGCTGCTGCTGGAGAGGTTCAAAGATGACTCGAAGTGGGCCTTGAAGGCGGAGCACAAGGAGTCTTACCTCAACGTGATGAAGTGCAGGTTGGCCAACATCTGCAGGTCTGTTGCGCAGGACACTCGTTTTTATGTGTCTTCCTTCTCGTCTGATCTGTCTGGGGGTTCAGGGGCACCGATCGAGAACGACAGGCGCTACTCGCTACAGGCATTGATTCGTTTGCTTGTTTCTGAGTTCGGACCCATGGGATACTTGAACCTACATGGCGCGGTGAGTCGGAGGGCACAAAGGGAGAGACAGGAGGAGAGGAGGGGAGGGCTTAGGAGAGGAGGAGGAGGGGGAGGAGGAGGGGGAGGAGGAGGAGGAGGAGGAGGAGGAGGAGGAGGAGGACGCGGCATGGAACGCAACACAGTTCTTTCAGGGAGAGCTGAAGCAGCCGCAGCCGCAGTGGGTGCTCAAGCTCCCCTGGAACCAGGAGGACGACGACGAGGCCGAGGAGGCGGCGGAGGAGGAACAGGCTGAGGCCGAGCAGTTCGCTTACGAATGGGACAAGGACCTCAAGCGGGCGTGCCGCACCAAGAAACACGGCAAAGGGAAGCAGAAGCCAGAATATTGCACTGGCTTGCGGGTTCCAGAGGGCGCGGCTGGGACCGACCCGATCATCGCCTACTGGAAGGACAAGCACAACCAGGCTGAGTTCAAGGTCGCAGACGTCACCGTCGACGAGTACAAGTCGTGGTCCAGCGGCGGCGTCCGCCGCGAGGCCCTTTGGGAAGGCGAGCACTCGATCACCCACCACAAGCTTTACGTGAAGCACCGCGCGGACAGGCATCCACTCATTTCGCTCTACGAGCAGCAGGGCCAGGTGTGCATGGTTGCCCTCAAGAACTTCCACAGCGAGGAGGACGCGGTGCGCCTCATTACGACGGTCGCCAAACGGTACGCGGAGAACGAGATCAAGAAGGACGAGCTCTACGAGAACAGGGACGTGCTGTACGAGCAGTACTTGAAGAAGAACGGCAAGGTTGCCCCCGCGGTGGCCAAGGGCGGGAAGAGCGCGAGCATGAAGCGGCCAGCTGCTGCTCAGGCGCACGGGGGCGGGTTCGTTTCAACTTTAGCGTTGGGATCGGCAGGACAGTTCGGAGGCTATGATCTGGGGGTCTCCACCCCCCTTGGGCAGGCAGGAACCATCAGCATTGGCATACCATGTGAATGACTGGTTGGCAGCTTGGAGGAGGAGGAGGGGCAGGAGGAGGAGGATGAGGAAGATGGGGGGGAGGGGGGAGGAAGGCGCGGACGAGGATGAGGAGGGAGAGAGGAGGGACGGACGCGGACAGAGGAGGCGAAAAAGTTGCCCAGGAGGACGGAAAAACTGGAGACTCGAAAACGAAGAGAAAACGAGGACGAGGAACGTGGGAGGAGGGATCGTGAGAAGGCATTTCAAACCGATCCAACTCAAACCAAATCCAAGCTAACTCTATTCAATGCAATTCCCTCCCACCCCCACCCCCAACCCCTATCCCATGGCGCCTCAAGCTGCTTGGGGAAGCTCGCGCGTGGGAGAATTTTGTGACACTGTACGGCCCCCAAGGTTCGCGTCTCCCTCCTCCTCCTCCTCCTCCTCCTCCGCCTCCTCCTCCCGCCCCCCCCCCCCCCCCCCTCTCCTCCTCCTTCCCTCCTTCTCCTCCTCCTCCCCTCCTCACTCCTCCTCCTCACTCCTCCCCATCTCCCCCCCCCCTCGCCCTTCCCCACCTCACCGCCTTCTCCTCTTTGTCCTCCTCCCTCATCCCTTCCCCCTCCTCCCTTGCTTCCTCGTCCTCCTCATCCTCCTCCTCCTCCTCCTCCTCCCCCCCCTCCTCCCCCGCAGCCCGCGAGGCCGCCGACGTCGCGAGCGACAGCAAGGACGATGCCGACGAGGAGCCGCTGATGAAGAAGAGGCCATCGGGCGTCGTCGAGCTTCGGAAGCCCGCGGCCGCCGCCACGCCGACGGGCGCGCAGGCCGCCGAGAGCAACAGCGAGGGCGGCGACGACGACGGCGGCGACGAGGAGGACTGCGAATCGAGTGAGTCCGTCCAGTTCGTCGCCCCGTCCCCGCCGAAGGCAGGCATGTTCAGCCCAGCGTGGTGAAGCTAAAACATCAGTATGTGGCATCCGTCCCCCCTCGGTCCGCAAGCGAACTTTAAGGGAGGGGGGGCGCTTTTCTTTTTTCTCACGCCCCCCCCCCCCCCCCCTCCGCCAAACCCACCCCCCTTCCCCCAGAAGAAACACAGAAAAACTAGGGGGTCCAGGGTGCCGAGTGTCGCCAGGATCAGGGGGGGGTGGGGGGCGATGGCTGGTCACAACTTCCACTGGTTGGGAGTGGGGGTCAGGCGCCTCCAAGTTTTGAGGATTACCATGCGATGCTAGAGCTCCCAAAGGTTCTGAGGGGAGATCGAAGGGTTGGGCCCTCGTTTCGAATCGCTCGTCGAGGGTTGGGTCCTCGTTTCGAATCGCCCGAATCGTTCCTGAGTTGCCGAGACACCGTCGCACCTCTCGCCACCGCGACCTCGGCGGTCCAGGGTGCGAGCCCGTGCCCCCCGTTCCCTCCGCGCCTCACCCCTGCCCAAGACACGCTCGAATGTCAATGCCGATATCGTCGTTGGACGGGTTGAACCGTTACCCCTGCTGGGCATCCGACCCGCCCTCAACGTTCAGGCCATCGCAAGGGCCAGCCTTCGTCGTCCTCGCTTCTTCTCCTCCTCCTCCTCCTCCTCCTCGCCCTCCTCATCCTCCTCCTCCTCCTCATCCCTCCTCCTCCTCCTCCTCCTCCTCCTCCTCCTCCTCCTCCTCCTCCTCCCCCACGTCCTCCACCTCCTCCTCCCCCGCCATCTCCTCCGACTTGCGACGTGAAGACACAGAACTCACGCTACAAGCGCCGCTGGTTTCTTCATCCTCATCCTCATCTTCCTCCTCCTCCTCCTCCTCCTCCAACACCACCCCCTTCCGCAGCCGCTTTGGCTCAAGCTGATTGTGTAGCTGATTCGCTGGCGGGTGAACTCGGCGACGCAGTGCCATGCCGTCGTTGCAGGCTATGTTCGGCTGGTCTGGGACGCCCAACCCGTCGGGACCACCAACAAAACGGCGACGGCACAAAACAGCCGCCGCGCCCACGCCACCGAGCACCTCGGGGCAACCGCGCACGCCAACCAGAGCCCCCCAGCAACAAGTTCTGCCACCACGTAAGGAGGAAGTCACGGGGGAGGAGCCGTCGCCGCCTGCACAGCAGCTCGGTTCACCACCAGCGACACCGCCGCCATCGGTGAAGGCCGAGCCGACTGAGGTCACGGCGGCAGCCGCGACAACACACATCGAAGCACCACCCCCAGGCGACGCAGAATTGCGCCTGCCCGAACTGGAGGAACAACTCAAAGGAGAGTACCAGAGGACCGTGAAGGCCGAGCAACATGAGTCCGCAGCCCACGTGGAGAGCCTGGGCAAGAGGCAGCAAAAGTTCCTCGATAACCTCGCCAAGTGCATCAAAGACAAGAAGGTGGGGCCCAACGATCCAGTCTGGCAGAAAGCCATGAGGGATTTCACGGACGATGAGGTCGCCGAGTACACGAAGTGCAAGGGGGACGAGGCTAAGGCCCAGTTCAGGGTGGACTGGGCCCACGGGAAGCACGACGAGATGACGAAGGGCAACAGCTACACCAAGGAGTGGAAGCGCGTTGACTCTTCTTTCGGACCGACAGGGTGCAATTCACTCGAGCCTAACAACAACTCATCCTCCCCTCGCTCTTCCCCTCCTTGTCACGAGGACGGTACTTGACGTGTGCTGCGATCGCAGTCGAGTTCGGCTACTTGGCCGATCCCGAGGGCGCGCTCGCTGCCGCTAGGAAGTACTGCGCGAAATGCGCAGAGCTCGGAGGTCAGTGGTGCCAGTGCGAGAGCTGGTCCGAGCAGCTTCTCTTCATGCTTCTGAGGATTGAGAAGCGCGAGATGCTCTCTGAGGTCCCCGCCCCAGACGGGATGCCCCCTCAAACCCGACGAGGGCCCTGAAACGTCCTGGTCGCCCTGAGAAGGCCCCAAGGCGGCCCCGAGAGAACATAGAAAGCGACGATGTTTCAACGGGGTCACAGAATAACCAGCAAAAACACTAGATTC